GGTCAGAGCAGTGCAGTCATCTGTCATCCAGAGGCCAGAAGTCAGAGTAGAAATGTCAAGAAGGTGGAGTGTCCATTATGCATAAGGAAAAGTGGGAGTAAGGTATGGTTCCTGGCCTCAGCAATGATACCCAAGTAGATACAAGGCAGCTTAGCCCAACCCGAATGTCACCCTTGCCCCCAGCTCCCACTCACCAGGACAAGGTTCCATCTCAGCCTGTCTTGTGACCAGAAACATATCCACCCTGTCTGGCACCCAGGGCTCTTTACCCTGCTCTAGGTGAGCAACCATACAGGACTTGGAGGATGTAAGTCCTGGGAGAAAGTCAGGCTGGGTGAGTGGCTGGCCATAGCTGAAGACAACCAACACCATGACAGACTAAAGGGAGCTTGTCTCATCTTTGCAACCAGAAAGAAAACTTAGTGTTACAAAATAGGTGCTCTGAAGAGCACCTCACAGGAACAGCTCAGTGATCCCCACAAGCAGGCAGTGTCTGCAGTCCCTGGCACAACCAGCCTCCTGGAAATGTCTGATAGAAAAAGGGGGCAGAACTTGGGGGCACAGCAGTGCCATCAACCTGGATAGAGTCAGGCAGCCACACTACCGACCCTAAGCCCTTGCCCAGGAGGCTTTGGACAGTAGGTGTCAGGGCTCCTCAGGGAGAGGAGCAGGTTAATGCCTGTGGCCCAGCTCTGCACACAAAGCAGCTAATCCAGATGAATAAGCAGCACCCACGCTCCACCTGTGCGAAAACAGCTGCTCCTGGGGAAGAGAAAAAGGGCAGAGGCTTACCCAGTGAAGCCACAAGTGCAAAGTTCTCCAGCATCACTTCACGGTACAGGTGCCTCTGAGCCTCATCAAGGAGCCCCCAGTCCTCCTGGGAGAAATACACAGCTACATCCTCGAAGGTCACCTGGCCCTGCCATGATGACCACAGCTAAATCAGAACAAAGGACAGCAGAAAATGAGGAAAATAAAAGTGCAGGTGAAACCATCTAAGCCTTGGACTGTGACCTGCATCCCACCACTTCTCTGGAAACAGTCTCTTTCTGCATGACCCAGACAACCTCCACAAACACACTGCCATGTCACCCTCCTCCTGAAGCCCCAGTGCCCATGGGTCCACTCTCTCTTCATGTCTCACTAAGCACTGTGTCTGACCCCAAACAACAGGCAGATGGGCAGCCATATGACATCTACGCCCTCAGTCCCCAGATTCTGCCTCCCAGAAATACTAAGCTGGGGCTGACCCTTCTACCTTCTGAGATTGTCGCCCACTGGTTCACACCTAGGGCACATTGACATCACTCCTTGGACAACCCCCTCATCTTTAGACCCCATGGGCACCCCAAGGCCCACACAACCAGCATGTCCCCACCTTCCTACATGCCTCTGCAAATGGCATCCAGAGCCTGGCTGCTGGGTGAGGGCAATCAGGATCCCATCCTGCCCCAGACCTCCAGAAGTGCCACCTGCCAGTGGCAGTTGTGCCTAGTCCTTCCTTTATGGTTTCCTCACCTGGCCCTGCTCCTGTCTTTAGCCCTCAGATACCCAGAACCACACACAGAGCTCTAGGACTCCCAGTCCTCTCTGCCTTTTCACATGCTATGCCCCCACCAACCACAGTACGCCTCTTTCCTCTTTTTGCATGATCAAAGCCCAGCTCCCACTCCAAGCCCAGAACTCTCCCAGCTGATCCTGTCTGCCACTGAGCTAATCTTCCAGCCTGACTGAAAGCCCAGGCCCCACAGAGAAGGCAAGAAAAGCCAGTGAGGCCAGGCACGGTGGCTCACACCTGTAATCCTAGCACTCTGGGAGGCCAAGGTGGGAGGATCGCTTGAGGTCAGGAGTTCAAGACCAGCCTGAGCAATAGCAAGACGCCGTCTCTACTAAAAATAGAAAAAATTAGCCAGTCAACTAAAAATAGAAACAAAAAATTAGCTGGGCATGGTGGCTCAAACCTGTAGTTCTAGCTACTTGGGAGGCTGAGGTAGGAGGATCGCTTGAGCCCAGGAGTTTGAGGTTGCTGTGAGCTAGGCTGACACCACAGCACTCACTCTAGCCCAGGCAAAAAAGCGAGACTCTGTCTCAAAACAACAACAACAACAACACAAAAACCACAGTGAGCCTGTAGAGGGGTGAATAAGCACAAGCCCTGGTCCCACTATCATCCTACCTCCACCTTGATACACCCCAGCCTCGATGTCAGGAAGTTTAATCATCTTCTGGACCCTCCTCACCCACATACACCTTTCCTTGAGGCTACTCCTCCTTTCATCTCTCTTCGCGATGCCCACTACCTCTGCCCAGGTTCCCAGGCCAACCACCCAGTCCTCAGCTACCCCCATGGGGCATCCATCACTATGACCTAGAGATAGCCCCTTCTACCTATGAACCAGCACTCCACCTCAGTTCATAGGCTGGCTGCCACCGACTGGACATTTCCAACTTGAACCCCTCAGCACAACTGAGACCTGTGTCCGGCTTCCCGTGGATACCCCTACTCAGGAGTCTATGGGACGTTCCAAACTTAACACGGCCAAAATCCACCTGACCTTCCATGAATCCTGCTCCACCCACTGACTTCCCCACCAGTGGATGGCACTTCCATCTTCTAGCTATTCAGGCCAAAACCCATGGAGACATCCCTGCCTCCTCCCCTTCTCTCTCTCACCTTCCAAACACAAAATCTGGCTGGCCCAAGTCAAAAAACAGATCCCAAATCCAACCACTTCTTCCATCTCCACACTCACTACTCTGGTGAAGTCACCATCGTCATTCACCTGATGTATTTACGGGTCCTTATGAGCCTCCCTTACTCCTCCCTCACCCTCACCTCGATGTGTTCTCCCGTCTGTATCCAGAAGGCGCCTGCCAACATCTGAGTCAAACGCCTCCCTACTCTGCTCCAAACCTTCCATGGCTTACCATTACCCTCAGATTACAGGCTGAGATCCTCAGGCTGCCCTTGTAGGCCTGACTCCTGCCCACCTGCTCTGTGTTCCCCCCAAACATAAGGGAGCCCTGCGGTTCCTTGATCACTCTCAGCTCCACTTCCTAGCATTTGCACATCTTGATGCCTATGCCTGAAAGAGCTTTCTGTGCTTCGTCCCACTGGATTCCAGAAATGGGAACCTCTCCACATAAACCGCTTGCCAGGACTCAGGATCTTCGGCCTGAGGTCGTCCTATGGTTTCCAAATGCAAAGGACGAGAGCGAAGGGGGAGCAGAAGAGTCCAGGGACACCCTCTCGCCTATTCGGGTTCGGGACTATAGGATGGGTCGGAGCAAGTGAGGTCCGCAGGGCACCCTACACTCACCCGCGCCGGGGCCGTCGGCGCCACCACCGCCATCGGACCCGGGCGGGCCCTGCGTGCTCGGGGACACGCACAGTCCACTGGGTGCGAGGACCGCAGGCCGATCGTCAAGCCCCAGGCCTCAGGCCCCACTGTGTAAATGCGCTCCAGGCGCAGGGGCCTCCTCCGCGGGCGGCGGGGGCTGAGGGCCAGTGCGGAGGAGGCCCCCGTAACAGGGATCATGGCGCGTACAAAGGTTCGCTGGTCGGCCCCATCCTCCTCACTGTCCCGAGTGGTCCGGAGGAGGCGTCTGGGAAGGGCCCGACCCAGGGCTCCGGTCCCCAAGGGCAGGATGGGACGACCTGTCAAGAGCAAAATTAACGCCCACGATGGCGACACCGGACGTCCTGCCCCCACCGGCGTGAAACGCAGGAAGTAGCTCTCCTCCTGAGCTGTGATTGGCCCAGAGCCCCCTGGCCGTCTTCCTGCTCCTTCTGGTCAGTGTAGTATCTGCCCGGCAGCCGGCCCAGGAGGAGTGCGCCTCCCATTCTCCATGGCAACGGCAAGGCAAAACCGCTAGGGGCACCGGGAAATGCGGTCGCGAGAGAAAGATAGGCGGGGCCGCCGCTTAACTTCCCGTTAAAGGGGCCGCTCCTAGATTTCCTTTCTCAGAGGTGTGCGGCAAGTGACCCCCGTCCTTGTCGCCGGGCTGCGGGCACTGACGGGGCTCCTGGGGAATCTCTTCTTTTCTCTGAGGATGTAAATGAAGATAATACCTGTCACAGCGCCTTTATTCAGTAACATTAAGGCACTTCTAATTCAGTGGTCCCTGGACCAGCAGCGTCCGCATCGCTGGGGAACTTTCTAGGACGGCAAGTTCTTGGACACCCCTTCCCCTCCTGAATCGGCGTCTCTGAGGTGGGCCTGAGCACTCTGTGGTTTGACACGTCCTCCTGGAGCTTCTGATGCTCACTCAGAATCAGCTGTAATTAAAATACAGTGACAAATTTTGGATAATATTACAACCTTCCTCATGAGAGGCGACATGAAAACTGCATAGCACAGGGTCGAGCTCCTAGCGCTAAATATCCGAGAGCTATTTTCCTTGCTGTTCGTATCACCGTCTTCATCTCCGCACGGTTCTGCCCTGCCCCTGTAGGCCTTACAGTGGTGACCCTCCCTACCAGGATCTGGTTTTCCACGTCAGGCACTGGAAAACGGCCTTGCCTCCAGCTACCGGCCACCTTGAGACATGCCTGACACGAGGAACCTGCTTCCTCAGCTTCTCAGACCGCTATACCCCCTCAGAACATCTGCCCCCCTCCGCAGGTGAGCTCAGGTACGGAGGTAACTCAGAAATCCAGTCCACAGGTTGTCTCCAGTAGAGCCCTCAGTCTTTCCCAGAAGGGTTGGAGGCCGTCTCTATCGCCACCTAGCCACTCCCGCCGCGCTCGCGGCCCCCTGTTCCCGTCGTGGTGTGTGTCCTTATCCTGTAAGCATTTCGAAATCCGGGTCTTAGGGGTCTCACAGACCCCCAAGATGAGCACTTCGGGGATGACTCCCCCCACGACTACAGGGAACGGCCGTGGAAACCTGCGGACGCAGATGTCCAATTTGGACATCCTAGGAAAGGTGGGAGGGATTGACGGGAACCGCTCGCGGGCTGCAGCCAACACCCAGGGTGCAGCGCGGGGCAGGCGGGGGCCGCGGCCGGGGGACGGGAGGCGGGAAAGGCGCAGAAGGCCAGCGAACGTTCGCACCTGGTTCAATGCGGACCGTTCTTCCCGGGGTCGCGGGGATGGGGCGAGGGGCGCCTTTATACCATTGTACAGAAACTAGAGACTGTCCTGAGGCGCAGGTATGGGAGGAACGGCCTCAGGTACACAGCCCCGAGGGCTTAAGCCTGGGCTCCGGAAGGAATGCGCCCCTACCCCATTCCCAGTCCTAGCCCTAAATCAGTGCAAGATCAAGATCCAGTCTCTACTAAAAACAGAAAGAAATTAGCCAGACAACTAAAAATAGAAAAAATAAGCTGTGTGTGGTGGTGTGCGCCTGTAGGCCCAGCAACTTGGGAGGCTGAGGCAGGAGGATGGCTTGAGCTCAGGAGTTTGAGGTTGCTGTGAACTAGGCTGACACCGCTGCACTCTAGCTCAGGCGACAAAGCAAGACTCTGTCTCAAAACAAAACAAAAAAAACATTTAGTGAAATTTTATTGTTTGTAGGCATGACTCACCAGGCCTCTTATAAAAGAATTTGGGCAAAAGAAAAAAGGTCAGAGTTCAGTCCTCAATAGGATCAATCCATTGCCAGCTATCTAGAAGCTGGATGGTTTCCCAGGAGTCCTGGGCCTGAGCTGCTCTAGGGAGTGTGAGAAGCGGGCAGTGTCACCCCCTGGCGGTGATTCTGGTTGGGCATTTTACCTTGGTCTCCTAAACCCTGGCCTTTTTGTCTGGTGCCTTCTTGAATGACCTGGCCTGACCCTGGGACCAGAGAGGGTAACTCCTGGTTTCCTGGTTCCAGGATAAAATCCAAATCCTTAAGGTGTCTGGAAAGGTTGCTCAGACTCCAGCCCTTCATCTCACTCTCTTGCCCACTCATGAAATGCCCTTGGCCAAACGTGACCTCTCCCTCACCCTAAAGACCCAGGATGTCCATCTGCCAGACCTTTGTTAGTACACTCCCCTATGCTGGGGACACCATCCCCTGCCAGTGACACCGGGAAGCCCCTACTCATTCTTCAATCATAACTGTCTTAACAGCCAAGAAATAATGGCTAATATGTACTGACAGTTTAGCAAATCCTGGGCATTACGATTTACACTTAAACCTTTATTCTGTTTAAACTTCTGAACAGCCCTGCAGACAAGTCCTAGAAATTGACATTTGGTTAAAGGTACAGACCCTGGAGCTAGACTCTGTAGGTTCACATCCCACCCTGGTTGATAATTACCTCTGTGATGTGAGGCAAGTGCTTGGATTTCCCTAATAATAAAACTGACATGTAATGGCATGTCTTCACCAATGATATGTGAAAGGACATACAGCAGTGCTGAAGACAAATTGGCATCTTGCAAATATTTACTACTATGTGTTTTACAGATAAGGACACAGGACCTTAACCAGAGGTCTAACCAGGTTGGCTAGAGTTCAACCACCTTCCCTATGTGACCCCTGACCAACCCCAGTGAAATCTTGTGCATGGTAGGGATTTGAGCCAGGCAGATGGCACTATTGTGGGTACAGAGAAAACTTTTTCGTGTTTTTATTTCATGGCCAATCCATTAAATTATGAATGTATCGAACATGTAGCATTTCTCTAAATATTAACCAGTTAACATTTGCCTAGTATAGATAATTACATATTAGAAGTATAATCTTAAAATAAAGAGTATGAGGGCCAGAATCAAGGCACACACCTGTACTCCCAGAAAGTTGGGAAGCTGAAGTGTAGGGGGAGGAGATTGCTTTAGGACAGGAGTTTGAGACCAGCCTGGGAAAACTGGTGAGACCCCCATCTCTATAAAACAAAACAAAATAATTACCAGGGAGTGGTGAGGGTTGCCTGCAGTCCCAGATACCAGGGACACTAAGGTGGGAAGATGACTTAAGCCAAGGAGTTGAAGGTTACAATGAAATATGAATTCCCCCTGGCACGCTGCCCTGGGCTACAGAGCGAGACTCTGACTCAAAAGGAAAAAAAAAAAAACCCAAAAAAGAATTTAATTGCTTCCAAATATTCAAACATTGACTAAAATGTTAATAATGCCTCTAAACAAAATTTGACTCCATCACAAAACTAAGACCTGATTGTTCCTAATTCTTTCAAAGCAGTCAAAATGGACATACAAACACTACAAAATTGATGAGCCCTCTTGCACTACAAGGATTTACAAGCAATATTAAATGTGTGCACAGTTATAGCTGGCAGTAGATAGACACTTATGCGTGGAGGGAGGTATAGAGGGAGGGAGCCAAAACAAATTAAGCCACTTGACACATGAGCACTGTCTAAGGGCCCTAAAAACAAGGCCATCACAGTGCAGCAACAAAGAGAAAACCTTTTCTTCTCTGCCAGAAACAGGGTTAGTCTACAGTGACAGTGTCCTGCCTTTAGTTTTCACGTGTCACACTCAGAACAGTCCCCAGTGGGAGAAATGATAATATTGTACTGTGCGGGGCAAGGCAAGAACTAGATAATCGCTTAAGGACAAGCAAGGCTAAGAAAGTATCTTCTGCGGGATCCCAGCTTACAAGGAAAACGGATGGTTTGGGCAACTGTCCAAGAACCACCTCAGACCCGAGAATAACGTAGGCTTTGGGACTGGCAATTCTTGGGGTAGGGGTCGCGAAACTGATTTTAAACTTCCACAGGACACTGACCCACAGAGGTCAAATCCCGCCCCAGGGCGTAAGGGGAGGAGCTGGGATGTGAAGCCAGAGCTGCAGGCGGACGCTCCTGCGCCCTCTAAACCCGCCCTTCCCGGAACCTTTCCGCCTCTGGGAGCCTGGCCTCGGTCGCTTTTGGAACCTCGGCAGTTCCCGCTTGCTCCCCTCCGGGGTTTAGACGAGGGGAACCCCGAACGCGGGACGACCGCCGGGCAACTCCTCCCACGCGTCGGGGCCCGCGGGATCCCGGTGCAGTCGCAGGACACCCATTTCCCACGCCCGGCCGGCGATGCTAGGCCGTTGCCATGGAGATCGGTAAAGGACCCGCCTGCACGCCGGAGAAACTACAGCACCCAGAAGGCCGCGCGCGAGCGCCGCAGCGCCCATTGGGCCAATGAGAGCCTGGAGGGCTGGACTTCCGGCGTGCGGGACTGTCACTTCACAGCCGGGCGTCAGGCCACACCGGCGATCCCGGCAGGGGCAGGCGGGGTCGGGGCCGCTTGTCCAGGAGGTTCTGGGGACCCGAGGCGGGCCGGCGAGGAAGGTACTAGCGAAGGGCCGCTTCGTGCCCCCTCGTGTGCACGCGTCGTGACCGCCGGCCGATGGCTCCGCCCCCGAGCCTCGGTTTCTCTGAGTGCGGCGTGGGCGGCCTGTGGAGCTGTCGGGCCGCGGCCGGAGCCACGTGCTCTCCCGGCCCCGCGGCGGCCGCCGACGCGACTCCCCGGTCGTTCGTCGCCGTCGACCGTCCGGGAGACCGAGGCCGGCTGCGGGAGGCTGCGGGCAGGCATGGCGGTGCCGGGGCTGCCCAGCGTCTCTGCCCGCCCAACGGCGGCTTCTGTTGGCGGCGGCGGCGGAGGCGCGGACGCACCGGGCGCCGGCAGTCGAGGCCCCTCCTCGCGTGGACCTCACCCCCGCTGCGGGAGAGGCGCTACCGGGACGCCGACCCGGGCGGGCTTCCTGTCTCGCTGTCCCGGGGCGGGCAGAGAGGGGGTTCGGTCCAAACCGCGGCGTCCACGTCAGGGAGGCGGGCGAGTGCGTGACCCCGACTTCTGGCACCGCCGAGTGGGGCGGGGCGGGCAGTTCCGGGGGAGGGTCCCGCACGTGGAGCCGGGAGGGAGCCTGAGCCTCCGTGCTTCTGCGGACGCGGAGCTCGGGGAGGGGATACGTGTGTCCCCGAAACGGCAGGCGGAGGGACGGGGACCTTCCGGAGGGCGTCGAGAGCCAGGGGGCGTTTGAACAGACTCTGGACATCGTCTGAGTTGGGATTTAAAAAA